CATTCCTTACTCTTGCATGTCTTCTTCATACTAAAAATAAAATTTAAAAACCTGTAAATAATACGAGCAGGTATTTCACATCAGATTTGAATTTTATAATTAATTCTTAATATGATCTGGCTATTTATCAGTTGATATGGTCATCAACCCTCGAATTATACCTTACAGGTGTGAGTGACCGTATCTAATTAACGTCTGCCTACTCCACCGAGATAACCTCTGTCAGTTATCTCCCCCTTGTCAGATAAATCATTCATCCAATTAGAATTCTCTTTGTCATTTGATAAAATACTACATTTTTGTATTTGACCAATTAGAATGGCCTTTGTTATGGGACAAAGTCATACATTTTTGTTGAAGTTCAAAAGTCCGGGAACAAAACGTTTCTTTTGTTACACCAGTCTCCTTAATTTAAAAAGTGTATAGTAAATCATTGACCAAGGAGGAGTAAGGATCATTGTGAAAGTCTCTGCATTAATTTCAAGTCTTTTTAACGACAGATTGAAAAAGGCTTATGAAGTTTATTTTCACTTAATAAAAGAAAGAAAGAATGGAGTCCTCATGAAAAAACTTTATTTTGTTGAAAAGATGTAGTACAGAATGGTTGTCAACTTCTATGCTTCTAAGTCAGAAGTTTCCATGTTTTCAACTAAAATCTATGTTTTCAACTTAACTTGAAATTGGTCTTTGAGTAAGAGTTAGCCTTCTGAACCTCTTAATATGGCTAGCAGACAATATTGGCAATTGGTAGTCTAGGGAGAAAAAAACATGAGCATTTCTCTATTAGACTCCATCTCAATCCATTAGAAACCCTATCTCAAGTTTTCCCATTGATTAAGTTATAAATGATTTTCTACAAAGAGAGTCAAATTCACATTTCTACATTAAAAACACAAAAACTTTGTAAAATTGGCGAAAATATAATTAAATTACATCATCCACTGATGATTTCTAATAAGTGAATCCATTTTCTATGTTATCATCATTTCCACCCACAAAATGAAAACATTTTGGATTTCCTAGCAGCATAAAACTATCCTACTGCGATTTAATGGCTAATAGATTTGCCAGACATGTACCCCTGATACTTTCAATACACATCCTTCACTCAATACACATTACAGTCACAGCATGTGCTCTCAGATCTTTTCAATTTAATTAAAATAAAAAAGATAACATGGTTTTAAGTTAGAATTAACAATTTTTGCAAACATATTTTTTGGCTACTTTAATGTTTTTACCAGCAGACATTTAATTTATTTAAATTTAAGACCCATGCATAAAGGAAGCATATCTAAAGCTATTTCCGCTGATTTAAATTGGCACCATTAGGAGATCCACAAAAATTACTGTCCTATGAACAACAATGAAACACTGTACTGTAACTGTATCATTGATGTATAAACCCAAAATTTGAGGCCGCAGTGATGCATAAATGAAGTAAATCTCAACCATTTCTACATTTTAATTTGGCATCATTAAGAGGAGCACACACTTTTCCCCTGTTGGTTTCTTGTTTCTATTTATAGTAATGTGTTGTGATCCCTATCATTAGTGGACCCATGTGTAATGTTTTTTTTAAATGTTTTTAATAAGTACAATTACATATTTGATTCTGTAAAATGTACTTTATAGGATTAAACATTTGGTCCACAATTGGTAATGAAAAATGTTTATCCATACGAAGGCATCATAAATATCATATCAATACTTTAAACCACATTTAAACAATTACTGAAACATATTTCTTTTTAGCCAAAATCTTGTGACAAATTAGAGAAATTATTGAAACCTTTGAACTTAACTTTTAGTGATTCTCTAACCTCATTCCCCTATTGTTTTACCCCCTAGTTCCTCAAAAGCTTAAACATTTTATGAAATTGGTTTGTTACATTTTATACCATAACTTCACCACTTAAATCTCAAATCGTTTCAATGTATACATCTGTATTATAAACAAAATGTTAACTTTCCTTAGCTTGGACAAATTTATCAAATCTTTTAGACAAATTCTACTTCAAATTTTTCTGAGTTTTATCAATATTGTTAAAATAGATTTTGTCACCTTCCCGATTTAAAGTAAATTTTAAGATTAATCAAAAGAAAGATCAAAGAAATTTAAATGAATGAATTTATCTCTTTAATACATAGACTGAAAGGTTTTGTTGACAAGTCTCAATGTAAAGAAATAGGCAGTGTTTTACATAAGCGTTACTTCAATTTTGTCCACTTACGGTACATGAAGTGTGTTAGATAAATATTTGAGGATATTAAATAGTACGATTTCTACATAATATTGTAGCCACTTATTTTTCTAACAGGAAATAAGAAAAAAAATCTAGCCAATTCAGAGATTTCTTCTGTACTCAAAATAAAAAATCTTGATTTTATGCAAATTTAAGGAATATTTCCATTTTACAAATGCCATGCCAAATACATAAAAAATTAATTTCTGTCCTATTTTTTTTTTTTACAAATTTATTTTGGTTTGTGTTAATTTTTCTATGCATGTCATACGTAGGTTAGGTGTGACAGTGATTCGTTGAAAAGATGAGCTTCATGCCACATTTGTGTGTACCTGTCGAAAGTCAGGAATTAACCTCGTTAGTAATTGTTGATTATTTTTATTGTTAAATTGCTGTCTCATTAATATATACCCACATCTAGTTTAATCATAAAAATTGACTGAGGTTCGAAAATCAAGTGTAAAATCTAAGCTATATCCAATTCATTATGTCAAATAGCAATACTATTAAAAGTACATTGATTTGTTTTCGTCAAGCTACCTACTTACATATAGACCAATTTAATAACCATAGTGCAAAATGGTGTCTACCCTAATATATGATGTAATCTGAAGCTATTACATGGGTGAAACCTAACAGCTATTCTTTGTAGTCAGATATCAATGGTACAATGTTACTCTATCGTCTTTTTTGTTCGTTTTTTTTATGTCACATCTTATTGATACAAAAGTACTTTAAAAAGACAGAAGAGATACTTTTGTTCTGTTTTTACCTAACAAAGTGTCACTGTTTGAAATATGATTATGAAAAAAGAACATTAATAAAAGGTATGTAATGGTTATATGGTTGTAAGTACAGTTGTTGTAAACCTTATATGTTTCACCTTTTATAACACTATTCTATCAATTTTATAAAGATAGGGACATATATGATAAGAAAATAAAGCTAAAAAGATATGATAGGATTTACAAGGACAAAATTTAACAAATACAGAAATCATTGCGATGCTTTTATCATTACAAAAAATGCAACAAAATAGGTTTCACAAAGATGATAATTACAGGTTTCATTCTCATAGCATTATTTGTATACTGCATTTATTGAAATTGTAATGACATATATTTTTTCCATTGTTCAGCAATTGCAATAAAAAATATTAAAAGTAGATGTTTCTGTGATAATCTATATTAGGGTTGATCAAGAAGGTAAAACATTTATGACATTTGGGAGCATAAAAACCACAAAGGGGCTAAACAGAACAGCCAAAACCAGCTATGGTCAACTCAATCTAGTTGAAATAAAGCTCTTGTGTCTACATTAAATGCTTCCAAAGATCTTACAATGCTCATTTCTACTTTCTGTTTTATAGACCTTTCACGCTCCTCTGGTTTAGTGGTAATGATATATATCTTTATCTATAACGTGTTGTTTTCATTTTTTTACAGCACTGGGTCGATACCCCTGCTGGTGGACTATCAGCCCTCGAGGGTATCATCAGCTCAGTAGTCAGAACTTCAGTACTGACATGATTTATAACAAACCTTTCTAAAATTGTCCGTTTATAAAATTTTAAATTTTAAAGAAATTTGAAGGTTTCAACTCTATCAGGCAAAGTTGACCTTAGATGGATTTGGCTATTTTTTTATGTCCTTTTGGTTATATAGCTCTTCAATTGTTTCTGTTTTTATACATCATTTGCTTTCAAATATTATGCTTTAAGTGATCCTGATGAAGGTAATTCCAGAAAAGTGTTTCAGACACATGAAATTTATAACGTGTTGTTTTCATTTTTTTGTCAGATCTGTAATTCAATCAGAATGAGGTCAACTTTGCTTCAAGCAGCTAAAACCTTAGGGTTTATAACAATTATTGCAAAATCAGAAATTATTGCGGTGTTTTTATTAATGCGAATAATGAGACTGTGTGAGTATCAGAATAATATTAGAACTCGCATTTTGATATTGGATACATTTTCCTGAAATTGCATTTTTGTCTTTTCTTTAAAAATCTCAATAATAAATGCATGCTATAATTTCTGAATTAACAGTACATAATCTATCTATAATCTGGTAAAATCTAAGTGGAAGAGTGTGGCTGGGTAATTCATATGTTAAAAGTCTTTAATTGGATGGGAATGTGGTACCACACATGATGGATAATGGTAAAATAACATTGACATCATCCAGTTAACATTCCTCCCCATTTTATGATGAAAGAAGCTTAAAAAGACGACATAATAAATGACAACAAAGTCAAACTGAGGTAAAAACACTGACAAGGAAAGTGCAATCATGTAATTGATGAATCTAACTAAAAATGTTTTTGGCTTCCAAAACTTAGTCTCCACTCTCCAGTGTACTTATACATATACAGCTGAAGCCCGCCTACGGTTGTAGGATTTTCTCCCTGTGTTGAAGACCCATTGGTGTCCTTGGGCTGTTTTCAACTCTTTGGTCGGGTTGTTGTCTCTTTGACGCATTCCCTGTTTCCATTCTCAATTTTATTGATAATGATTCATTGACTTATTGCTGTTTAAAGTCCAGCAGCAAATAGTACATGTATATTTTTGAAGATGACAACATTTCCATAGGATATGAACATGAAACAGGTATTATTAATGTGAGAGCATCACAATTTCTGCCTAATTGGTATGGGTCATCAACAAATTATTAATATACATGTATTAAATTTAGACAACTATTTTATCACAACTTGACAGTATTCAAATTAAGGATGCATAAAAATTACCATAAGAATTCCTTTCATCTGTAATCTTCCTTGGTATGCATACTCATTATATCTATCTGTAATTCATATATTTAGTTCTTTAATTAATATACCGAAGATTTACATACAATAATAATAGTGTTGAGAGGATTGTTAATAGAATGTCAGCTACATTTAAACTAGGTGTAATTTTGCCAAGTAGGTGACTTTCACTCCAGCATAGCAAGTTTTTTCTTCTTTTTTTTATTATTTAAAAATTTGCTGTATCTTGAAATCTACTACAATAGCTGTACTTTTTAGAGTCAAATTATTTTTAATTCCAATAGATTTCATACTTCAACTTCATAACTGGTAAATTTTATATGAAATGTACCATAAAATGTACCAGTTATTTAGCAGTAACAGAGCCAAATATTGTCTTTGAAGCATTCTTAAGGAAGGTCCCTTAAGATTCTGATTTATAAATTTAGAGTGATTATGTAAATACCGGTAATTATTGAAAAATGAATATAAAAATTCAGCAATTTAAGTACAAAATGTCTCATTGAAACTATAAACATGTCAAAATTGTCATTTTTTACAAAATATTATACATATAGTTTTAGATATATCAAAATATGATATTACTACTTTACCTATTAGGGGTCAATCATCTGAAAGGGGATAACCTTTGATAAGACATCTTTGCAATTAAATAATTTATTCATAATAGGTAAGAGTTGTCTGCGGACACTATTTTATAATGAAATACTGCCCAAGACAATATTTCATTATGAAATAGTGTCATTGTCCATGAAATTTTGTCACATCCTCCTCTTGACATGATACAAAGTCAGGAAATGTTGCAATATTTCATAGAACAATATCTTGCTTTACAAGTGCAACTTGCTGAGTATCTAAATATTATAGTAAAAATTAAATTGAGACAATTTTGGCACTCTTCAACAGCTTTTCGGCTAATTGCACAAGGTTTGAGGATTAAATGCTAATATGTGAATTTCAATTATACATACTTATTGAAATCTGACACATAAATGTTAAATCATTACCAAAAATAGAATTTGATTGATTTATATCACTTTATGGTTTTAAAATTGATGGTCCTTAAAATAATAGATGGTCTTGAGGAAAATTTAGATACATTACTTAAACACATTATAGAATTTGATGTTCTATTGAAGACTACATTTTAAGACCTTAAAATTGAGTTTTGTATTTTTGTTTTTTGTGTTTATAAACTGCTGTCTTTAATATTGGCATATTTTCTGTATCTATTTTTGGGGGGCTTTCTTCCAAAAGTACCATCATCTTTCAAAAACACTCAATTACAATTTCTTATATAATTGCTAAAATCCTCCCTAAAAGGATTGATTGATTGATTTGTGTTTAATGCATCTTTCAGCACTGTTAGCTATTTAGTGGCTGCCAGTTTTGATTGGTGGAGGAAGCCAAAGTGACTACAGAGAACCATCCACCTTCTGTAGGAAAACAAAACTGACAATACAAGTCAATTCAAAGATTAGTGTCCAACACACCTGCCATGTGAGGGACTCGAACTCACAACCTCAGTGTTGACAGACTAGTGATACAGTAGTTAGACTACTTAGACCACTCAGCCACTGAGGCCTCTCTCCTAAGAGGAAGTGCAGACCTAACTGATGAGCATATAAAACTGTCACTATATAATATTCCTACAAAGCACGGGCACTGATACAAGAGCCTCATAATCGCTCACCTGAAAAAAAATATGCCATTCTGATTTTGATTTTTATCTGTACTGCAATCATTTATATTTGCTTTATATTTGTAAAGGATTTTTACAATTAGGCCATGACAACTTTTTAAAAACAATTTGCAGATCTTATTTTGCTTTTTAAGTTTCTCTCTATCTACTTTAACTTTTAGGTAAGATGCAAAAAAACATTGGGGGGAAATCTTTTATCAGGGAAAATAACTCCTTATAAGAAGCCATTTTGACAATTTCGGTTTTGTTGAAATGTTTAAAGTTGAGCGTTCCTGATGAAGATCAATCTTGAAAAAGTGTAGTTTCTAAACGTGGCATAAAAGTTTCAAGGCTGATTTAAACTGTTTTGCACTGAGAAAGTCTTGGATTCTCTTGTCTTAACAATTAGGCACTGTGTTGCACTGAGAAAGTCTTGGATTCTCTTGTCTACCATTAGGCAAATAAAATGCAGATGATACTCTTCAAACTCAGAATCATTGAGCATCAAAACCATGTTAAGTGATTAAAACCTGACTTTTATAATTAATGAAATGACTGCTTATCAAAAGGAACCGAATTCACACTGATAGTAAATGTGCATTACTTCAATTCATACATAACAGTAATTATTTACTGCAGTTATATAAACAAAATTAAAAAAAAAAAACTTTTCAGTTTTAGGTCATAGTTTCGAAATTTTAAATTACTGTTGTTTAAATAATTTCATAACATATAAATACTATTGCTGTAAACTTGGAAACTTTGCAAGACCAAAAGTACTTTAATAAGACAAAAGTTTGGTTGTAGATTTCTGAGAACTATTTTCCACAAATTACCAGTATACTCAATTCTCTTAATATCGGAACACGTCCTCTACCACATGTCTTTAAATGGCCTTGTTTTCAACCTACTGTGGATTCAATAGTCTTTTTTGGATACCAATTTTTGTAAATTTAATGGATACAGGTTAACGATGAATTGAAATGTTTAACGAAGTATATATTTTCTAAAGGCTAGTATACAGACATTGACAAATCCACGAAATCAAATATCCATGACAAAACTATTTTTTCTCAATCCACAACAAATGATATCCATGACAAAACTATTTTCCTCAATCCATGACAATTGATATCCATGATAAAAACTATTTTTCCTCAATCCATGACAATTGATATCAGTAACAAAACTATTTTTCCACAATCCACAACAAATGATATCCATAACAAAACTATTTTTCCTCAATCCATGACAAATGATATCCATAACAAAACTATTTTTCCTCAATCCACGAAATCAAACATCCATGACAAAACTATTTTTCCTCAATCCACTACAATTGATCATTTTTACCTCAATCCATGACAAAACTATTTTTCGTCAATCCACGACAATTGATATCCATGAAAATAAATGAATTGACAGTACACCATGACATGTGTTAATGGTGACCTCTTTGATCCATAGATATTGATCCCCTGAATTGATGAGTTATTTTTCACTTGTATTTAACATGTTTTCAATTGAGATGAGATTATGTACAAAATGCATATGATTTTTTTTTCATGTTAAATGAGCTGATTTACAAAATTAACTTCATTATTTTCAGTTTATCCATTTCAAATAAGGAAGTTATTATTTTTTATATTAATATTATGTTAATTTAATGTGAACATCATGTTAATACTTTGACAACATATTTTCTGTTTTGTAGTCCAGCAAAATCTGTTGAAAAAAAATATGGTGATTTCAATTTATTTAGAGGAAATTAAATTGGAATTGAACCTTAATTTTTCTTACATGAATTTGAGGTATTACCAGTATTAAACTAAACTAAAATGCCCCGTTCGGTTGAAATGAATTTGCAATTTGAATTTTTGCATATATTAAAGAATAAGTGTTATGCAGCAACAAGTTTACACATAATAATAATATGTGCTTATTTCAGATCTATTTATCATAGTAATTTATGAACTCTGCAATAAACTGGAAAAAAAAAAAGGTTTTTAAAAATCTGACTAAAAAGAGGTATAGGAATACACATCAATGAGACGAAGATGACATAGAGAAGCAGAAGGACTTTTTTCAGGACGTTGAGATTGGACCATTATTTTTGGATTAATTTGAGATTTACACTTATTAGGACGTGGAAATTATGATTAATTTTTTCAGGTTGCAAGAAAGAATGCTTTTTTTTTCTGGGAATTTGTGATTCAGTGTCTAATTTTCCAAGAACTCAGGAACCCCCCCCCCCCATCCAACACCCCACACACCCCCAACATTAAAGTCTTACAAAAAGACAGGTGTCTATCCAATAAATGGAGCTCTAAATGGTGCCCAAAGTCTATAAAAGTTGTGAATAAATTCAAAAAGAACAATCAAATTTCTGCCAGCAGGGGTGTAGCTAGGTATCCAATCAACTGTACATGTAGGCACAAATTGCGGCCAGGGGTATTGGGGCCGCTTAAAGCCCCCTGCAGGTCCAGGACAGAACCCTGGTAAGGAATTCAGGGGGGAGAAACGCCACAACGGAAAACGGTTTTCAGCATTTTAGTTGCAAAATTTTGTGTACAAAAAATATTAAATTTACTGGTTATTTTATCATGATAATATACATGAAGAAAAGTTGGAAGAATTATAAATAATTTTACAATAACATCTGGTGAATTAGCGCAGTACGATCCAAAATCTGAAGAAAGAAAAATTATTTACAATATGCATTGCCCAGCATAGATCAGCGCAGCCCTTTAATTAAGCAGTACATCCTATTTGGTATTTTCATATCTATACCTTTCTGATTGAGGATAGTTGATATATACATTAATTGATAGTAAGTAAGTCTAAATTGAAAACAACGTTCAAACCTATGATTGTGTTGGATAAAAACTGCAATTTTTATATGTGTGCATGCAAAATAAATTTCTTGGTAGAGGGGTCTAAATACAGCACAAACAACATTTTCCAAAAGACCAAAAAAGAGAAAAAGTATATTTAAACAAAACGCATTTGACTAACAGGTCCAACAACAGATGTTCTTAAACCCTGCTGACTGCCATTGGTGATTGCCAAATAAACGGATCACAAGATGTAACAAAATGGATCTTTATTATTAATTTAATACCAAACAGAAAACAATAAACTTGCGGAAAATTGATAGTACATATAGACAATCCTTCATTAAAAGAATAGGCACATAAACACTGAGACTACTATAAATAATAATACTATACTTTGGGCTAGACATCGCCATCCATCTTTTGATTCTTAAACCTTCACCCTGGCCACACAAACACATACACTCACACACAGTTGATGCCCAATGCAGAAGATCGGTTCTGTTCATACTATCGTGACAAAATTCAAGAAATTCATATTTTTAGTTACTGAAAGCTAGTTGATTGATTGATTGCTAACTTGACATCCAGTGGCAAATAGTTATGCAAGTTCAGGACAAAACCAAATTTACAATAAATACAACAGGTAGCCACTAGGTCCTGTAATAGGGGTCGTCCAGGATGAAGGTCTGAAAATTTGAAAATGCCATTAAACAATTAGGAGATAAATGTATTGTATTTTAAGCTTGGCCTTTGTTAAACGTAGATTTTACTGTCGCAAATTGAGTTTACCTAGCAACGTGTAGCGGAGCTAAGTAAATGAGGGTTTATTGGATAGGGACAGAAATTTTGCCTTATAGCAGACCACCTACAGACCCCTCAAAGAGTTGTTGCAAGTGTTCTTAACGTGCAAAGAGCTTGGCATTCTTCTTACACTTGGCATCAGAGTTAACGTCCCCTTTCTGACCAGACGTGACAGTGTATTTATACATCCCTCACAGCCAAGCAGACGCCCCACTTTGGCAAGGGTTTTATTGTAGATAGGATGAAGACCAAGTGGAAAAAAGCTAGTTGAAAGCCAACAACAACTAATAAAAAAAATCATGTATCTAAGAATAAAATGTCAGGGTTTTGAGCATGTTGAGGCTCATTCGAGTATTTGTTGGTAGAAGTGAAATGATATGAACCAAAGTTCTAGTTTTAGTTTCTATATAAGGTGGAATTTAAATTAATGTACATACAATTCTACCCAATACTCCATTCACTAAGGATGATAGACTAGTGTACAAATTACATTTGATATTTAAAGAATTTTGAGGACTTCACGTGCATCTACAGATAACTTATTTTTTTTAATACAAAAAAAATATTTGTGAAAAAATTATGTGTAGGCACGTGCCTAAAGTGCCTAACGGCAGCAACGCCCCTGGCCACCAACACAAACTTCTGCATTGATAACGAATAACATTAAATGATTTAGACAATTTTTTGTGCATATTACAACAAGTGTTCATTATTAGTTTGAATATTAATGTCTTATCTGCTGTATATCAAAAAACAATAAAATGCCCCAAGAAATAAATTTTAATGTTAACTTTAAAAGTGCATAACTGTGTTTATTGCATCAGAACAAAACATGTAACTACAGTGTCTTCCAAAAGTAAAGTACATGCCAACAATATCTTTAGGTTAATTATTCAAACAAAAAAGTTGAGGACTATTGTGACTGAGTTGCCTTTGTTTTAGTTGGTTAAACTCTACCTACAAAGTTCTCTAAACTTGTGATCTATTGGTTTGGACCACCAAAATTTTGCAAAGGACCAAACAATTTTGGTATGTTGTAATAATAGTGAGCACCAGCAGATTTTCTTGATGAACCACCAGGAAAAAAAATTTTTGAGAACTAATTGCCTATGCAGATCAGATCAGCAACAACAGTAGTCTGCCATTGCTCCTTTATCAGCCATTCTGACAACTTTTTTCAGGACTTGCTGGAGTCCCTAGAGGATTAAGCTCACTCGGCGGGTCCCAGAATCTTCAAACAATAAAACTAACCATTATCAAATAAATTAAGGGAACAAAATTTGTATTGTTGACCTATATTTGGTCTCTGGTGGATAGCTGACGATTGGCAATTATGCCACATCTCCTTATTTTTATATTAAGCATGATAAAAAAAAAAAAAATATATACTGGTAATAAAATTTGGGCACAAATATGCATGGAAGGTTGTCAAACAGTGAAGATTGTATGGTGATGGCTAATTTTTTTTTGGTTTGGGTTATTAGGTCGCTGTGTTATTAATGACAACAATTATACCTTATTATGATAAAGATGGAATAGTTGGTAGCTAGATAGAATAGTTGGTAGCTAGATGGAATAGTTGGTAGCTAGATGGAATAGTTGGAAGGTAGATGGAATAGTTGGTAGCTGGATGGAATAGTTGGTAGATAGATGGAATAGTTGGTAGCTAGATGGAATAGTTGGTAACTAGATGGAATAATTGGTAGCTGGATGGAATAGTTTGGAATAGTTGGTAGCTAGATGGAATAGTTGGTAGCTGGATGGAATAGTTGGTAGCTAGATGGAATAGTTGGAAGGTAGATGGAATAGTTGGTAGGTAGATGGAATAGTTGGTAGCTGGATGGAATAGTTGGTAGCTAGATGGAATAGTTGGTAGCTAGATGAAATAGTTGGTAGCTGGATGGAATTGTTTGGAATAGTTGGTAGCTAGATGGAATAGTTGGTAGCTAGATGGAATAGTTGGTCGCTAGATGGAATATTTGGTAGCTGGATGGAATAGTTGGTAGCTGGATGGAATAGTTGGTAGCTAGATGGAATAGTTGGTAGCTAGATGATCATATAGAAAAAATAAGGTAGGTATAACATAGAAATCAAAACAAGTGTTAAGCAGGGGCGGATTCAGGAGGGGCGTGGTGGGCGTGCACCCCCCACCCCCCTAAAATTTGCAAAGCATGGTTTGTCCTCAGCTAAATAAAGAATATTTCAATAACTTTACCTCAAAAAAAAGTTTCGCCTTGCTTTGCTCCACAAAAAATTTAAGTTTCTGCCCCCCCCCAACCTAAAATCCTGGATCCGCCCTGGCTTAACATCCCAAAAGTGACTAAAAAGTCTTCAACTTACAGATGTCATAGGTTTAAGATTAGTTTTAAGCCATCAGAACCTCCTGACATTTCAATATTTTCATGCTGTTGAAATTTTCTACTCTCTCTCTCTCTCTTGCTTCCTCTCTGATTTTTGTACTTGCAACCCTAACCCGAATAATTCAGTCCCTCCCCGTAATCAATCTCTCCTACATGCGAGGGCCTGAAGTCCTAACACGATAAAAATTCTTCACAAATCCTTGATTGTGATTGGTGCCCTGTAGAAGAGGTGACCAAGCAGCAATCATCTCAATTTTATCGAGATAGGTAAATCCGGAGCTAATTCCGATTGATTGTTTGAAGATTTTTCATTGTCTATGCATTCAGGCGTTAATGAAGTAATCGTAGATCAGCGGAATATAACGACTAAATTATTCGGGTTATTGCAACCCATGCTTTGGTAGTTTTAGGGGCACACACCAGAAACTTGCCCACATTAGTTTGCCCCTATAGCAATATTCTACATTTATGGATACTTTTGAGCCAATAACAACTAACGATTATAAGGACTTATCGTTTGATTGGAGAGATTTGGGAATGTTTTATCAGGAGTACACTGTAGACAAATTTTAAATGTAATGTTATCTTTCAAAACAATCAACTATTTACCTTATTAATAATTCAAAAGATGTTTACAGAAAAAAACCATGATCATCAGCCATCACAGAATGACATCTCCTTGCCCTTAGGTTACCGCAGACTACAAAAGAATAATTTAATAAAATGATGTCACATATATAAATCAAACATTATAATTAGAATGCAGAGATCTACGTTCATGACCGCAGAAACATAAATTTATATAAAACCAAACAATATAAAATATGATTTAAAATAATGGAGACTTTGTTTCATCAGCCAATGTATGTTTTAAAAGCAAATTTAAAAGTTTACATCCTGATGAAGATTGGTCTTTGGTAGATAGTTGTCTCACTGGCAATCTTGACTTCTGGCATACCAAATTATAAGCCTGGTATATGACAAGCTGTTTAACTATGTATTCTAACTTCAAGATATATCATATAATAAATAAGATATCTTATATAATAGTATAAGATATCTTATATAATCTACTACTCTCATTAGGCCTCAAGATTATAAGTGTACATGTATTTCTTGATTTGACCACAAATATTTGCCACTGAAAGTTCCAACAAAAAAAAAATAAAGTAATTTGTCCTTTAAATTCGATATATCTAAATTATTTAAATTTGGCCAGAAATATTTGCCCATGGAAGTTCAACTAAAACTAAATCCATGTTGTAAAGTGTAAAATTTAACCTATAATCTTGACATATAATAAAACTATTCTGATTTGGCATGAAAAAATTGTCACTTGTAGTTCAACAAAAAAATAAATCAATTTTATAAAGTACAAATTTTAACCTATCAACATGATCAACTTGACATCATAAAATTTTCCTGATTTGGCAAGAAATACTTGTCGCTGGACGTTCACTCAAAATAAATCAATTTTGTAAAGTACAGATTTTCACCTATAAACTTGACATAATAAAATTTTAAATTATGACATGCATGTCCTCAATTTTCAAATTACAAATTCAAATTCTTCTTCTATCTTGTCATTACAATTGCAAATTAAAGATCATTAAACTGACACTTGTTAAATTTGAAGATCTGCTATTTAATTGGTATTCCACCAATACTACCTCAATAAAGTCATTTGTCATGTGACAACTTTTGAAGACAATTAAACAAATTAGTTGTAAATTTCATCAGATTTTGACAGTAATAGTTGTTAAGTTTATATACTTTATGCCTTTCTGCATTAATTTTTTAGATAATAAATTATAAAGATTTTTACAAAATCCTTGAACTGTTTTGACTTGCTATCAGACAAGAAAATTATACATGAATCAAAAATAAATGTGTGGTATACCACACTGAGATAGCAACTTGAAGACAGGAAAACATGAGAAGACAAATATAGTTGGTAACTTATGATCATTAATAACGGACAAGTTACTTCACCATTTGTAACCAGCGTCTAGAAAAATGGTGTATAAATTCGACACTGCTATTAACATTAAATTATTTTAAGGTACAAAAGCACGAAGACACAGTATCTTGGGAAACTTTTGTATGGGTCTAATTTTTCACTTTTTCAAGGTAATCATTGTATACCACAGAATTTGCTCTGCATGGACATTTCACTATTGGTGGTCAATGTATATGTAAAAAATTTGATGGTAGAACCTTTGTTGTGTGTGTGAACTTATTTACAATCTGTCTGGGAAAATTTAGAGTTAAACCTCACTACATATCAGATTATCTGGACCTTGTGTTGTTCAATGTTGATGATCTTATTTGTAATTGTTATTTTCATGGAGGAGTCAAGCGTTGGTTGTTGGTATGGACTGTCATACTGTTGATTTGCTATTGTTGAACAAACACACGATTAATTACTGTGACTTCAGGAAATGCTGCACAAAATATTGCTATCCAATTTCAAAATGTTTTATGCAAGTTTTTATTCTTGCAAAACGTATCCCGTCACATTTTCGCAATAATAAAAACATCCCAATAGTTACAGCTGATCTTCCTTAAAGAGTAAATTTACATGAGTAAAGATTTTTGCAATAATTATATCTTAACTGCTATTTCATAAGTAAAAAAAACCTTACTTAAATTTCTACTGAGTTCCTTGTATTGTTATATTTTACTGTAGGGTTGCTGTCTGAATGATGTTCACCCCAACAACTCTTATTCATTGATCCATATATTTTACATTGAAGTCCCCCAAAGGAGTACTTACCATATAAAGTTCTGTTTTAACATCAAGATGAACTTAAACTTGTAAAGATAAATCAGAGAGCCCGAATGTTTTTCCTCCACATTTACCTGAAATATAATAAAATTGATAAGTTTACCTTTCAGCTGTCTGTCATTTCACTAAAATATTTCTTTTTTTTTCTGGAAAAAGTTAAGGTAATTTGTTTGAACAAGCATAAATGATAGTTTCTGTCACAAATGGCTCCACAGAGGACAATAAAATTTATTAAAAATGAAATAAATACATTAAAAATGAAACAAATACATTAATTAAGGAACAGGACAGGTTCAACTTTATTTATTTTTCTTGTTATCAAAATTTTCTCTCTCTGTATGATCAGTTAACATCTACTCTGAAAACTTACCAGGACCTGGGGTAAAGGTAAAATAATAATAGCAAGGGTCTAGATGGTGTCCTTCACTTCTGTATTCTTTAAATTTTTATGTAATTTTTCTAAATTCAATATTTTTTGCTAATTATTCTTCATTCTTAAAATATATTCTAGCACCCCATTATTCTCTATTCTTTATTTTTTGGCCTTTTTCTTTTCTAATTTTTATTTTTTGGCCCATTTTTCTGCAGTATTCTTGGCCCATAATTCTCTTTTCTGTAAACCCCATCCAGACCCTTAGGTATGGCCACCTGGAGTTCCCAAGTTTCATTGGGGGGGGGGGGGGGGGGGGGAGGTCTGATCCCGGATCCTCCTTATTGTTTTGTCAGAATCCTGTATCCTGTTTATCATTGTAATCTAGCGCTTGTAATTTCATGTGTCCCACCGGACTTCATTTCCCATTTTCACACAAAATAATTTGACTTTTCACGTGTCACGCTTACAAAAATTCGGCCAATCCTGCATCATACTTACACTCCAATGAGACCCACTTTGCACTGGGAGAGAGATAATGGCTTTTTTTATGAATTATTTGATTCTAAATTTCTTTGAAAAAATAATCTGTTTCATATAGGAAGTGAAAATAAAGTTCTTGGTAGTAAAAAAGGTTTCTCTATAGAAATAAGCTTCTGAATATTGTCCATACAGTTCATGGAGTGAATCATTATTATCACCTATTTATATGCCCAATCTTCAAAAGCAGGTGGGGTATTTAGTTTTTTATTGGTTTGTCTGTATCCGTCCCTTATCAGGTTAAAGTTTTGTTTAGTTTTCCATGAAGTGAAACTTGAAACTTGGTACACATGTTCATTATGAATTATTGTAAACTTTTAAAAATGTATGACAAACTGCAAAAATAAAGAGAAAAAAATCATCTTTCAAGGGAAATATCTCCTCTCAGGGATCAATTGAACATTTCAAACATGCTAATTTATTTGTAGATATTATTTTGCTGTCCATTTTTGCTATATATTGTTGTTCTTTATCTGTCTTTGTTTCTGCAAAAATATCATAAAATTGGGGAAATTGGTAATTCAAGGGCAATGACTACAAAAGGAACCAATGGACAATTTCGGCCATGTGGTCTTATTTGTAGATTGTATATTGCTTCACATCTTTTCTATATGCAATTTCTCCTTCTGTTATGAATTCTGCAAAATATATAATAAATAGATAATAAAAAAAAACATCTTTCCAGGGCAATAACTCTTAAAAGCAGCCAAGTTAACTTATTTACTTATCTTAATTTTGCTTTTGATAATTTCTCTATATCTATTATAATTTTTGCAAAACTTGCAAAAAATAAGTAAAATTCAGGTCTTAAAGGGCAATAATTCATATATGGGGCAATTGAAGACTCATCCGTGAAGATCATATTTTGTTGAACATTTATACTATCAATAGATTATCTCTATCAACTACAGTTTCCAAAAAAATGCAAAAAGGGTAACAATAATTTTTTGAAGTCAATATTACCCCCCTATAAGTGGTTATTTTATGACTTCTGCCAAGTTTGACTGATTTGTTTTTTTTTTGTCAATTTTTTAACTCTTTAAAATATCTCTCTCTCTATCTTTTATAATTCATCGTAATTAATAACCAAAAACTGCACAAAATTGCAAAAAAATACTTTCAGGGGCAATAACTCCAAAATGGGTCATCTGATTTTTCTGAAAATTCTGTTTGAGATAGACCTTGACTTGCTAATCAATTCTATCCAGTCAGATTTGCTCTAATTGCTTTATTCTTTTAGATAAAAATACTTTTGATCAAGGTGGCTTCTCGTAATGTTCAATTCATTTTCTAAGAATATATCTTAAATAAATCAAATGCTTCTTATTATGTATTTCTTCTTTTTGTTTTGTCTAAATGAAAGCACTGATCAAATTTACTGTAAATTCAGAAAATTTCTGTGTGTATTTATTAATGGGATTGGTGAATAATGGACAAATATGTAAATTAAATTTTGTGATTTCAGCTTGGTAATTAAGTATCAAATTCTAAAAATGCCAAAGCTATACTGCCACAATTTTCCCTAAAATTTCTGAACAGACAGTATTTATATGACAGTTGTGCACTTATACAGTCAAGTGGACAGACAATAGCCTGAGTGTTGTTCTAATTATAGGCTCCATGACCATAAATAGCAGAACTTGTGATTTAACATGGCCACTGCTGTGATCATGTTAAAATGTACCTTTTATGTCCACAAGTCAAATGCCCTATTAAATTAAAACACAGTAGAAACCCAAGCTGTGCAACAAGTTATTCAGTGTCATTCAAAAGCATTCATTAAATTCCATCTGTGATACTACCTCTGTCCTTTGATCATACTGTCAAGGCCACACACTATACAATGTTTAACATTAGAATAGCTAGAGAAAACTCTGAAATAACAGAATAGACAAAAATACAAAAAAGGATAAATGAAAATACAATAAATGATACGATACTGTATTAAAGAAGCTCACAGTAACTGAATTACTATTTTTAAGAACTTTAAGACTGTTGATATGAAAGCATTCTAATCCTACTCTCTAATATTTGTTGCTGTATCATATAAGATTTCATACAGCATTGTCATACACAGTACACTTACATGAAGTCATGTTTTTGTGCAATGAGGAGGATTTAAGGAAAGGTTGTGCTGGCCTGGTAAGAATTGAAAATAAATTATCTTTTCCAAGACAGAGTGAAAACAGATATGCTGCTGCCCAACAAAATGCACAATTTAATTGGGTACAAAATGGAACAAAAATGTTCACACAGAAATAATAAGCCTGTCTTGCAACAGATAGAAATGAATATTCTGTCTACAAAAAATCCTCCCAACCCGAATCAACCCATGTATAATGCCAATATATCAATTATATATATCACATGTATGAGGATAGATGATAACAAAATCACATTAGCCTGGCCTTAAAGAAAAGATGTGATCAGATTTAAAGAACAAAGAACTTTTCATTCAGGTAACAATTACAGGTGCACCTTAAAGGTAAAAACTCGGGTATCCCGTCCTTTGACACCAAACTATTATCTCTGCTTGCCCCATCAACCTACAGCCATTTATATAATTATAACGTAATTACATATCTTATGACAGTCGCGACACCAGTCTATTCACAAACTGGTACGAAATAGTAAACATCAGTCGTGAAAAGTCACTAGGGTCAAAAGGACAGACCAACAAATCCTTGATGAAAGTGTATTATTATCCCAGCCTTTCAAGCAAAACTGATAGGAAAAAAAGACTTCATTCACGTGAGAAAATCAACTTTTTTTGTTCAGTTGTCTGGCTCCAGTCAAGCTGTATGGAATCTATAGAAATAATTCTGCAGCTTCTGTTGATAAATCAATATAGTTCAGAGCTTGGTCATACATCTTATGTTGACAATAATGAATTAATATTTTCAGTGTAGAACCAGAGACATATAATACAATTGTAATATATATCTCTGGTAGAAATGTGGCATTCATTCTCTGTCCATATACTGCTGTCGAATGAACCCAGAGCTTAAATTTTTGTCAATTATATGACACAGGTTATATTTAATAAGACATGCAAAATATGCAATTTGTTTCAATTACATATTTAACATTCCAATATTCATTCAAACCACACACATATTTTATCAGAAGATCTTATTGCATCACATATTAAAGTAAAATTTTGCATTTCAAGCAATTTGTTTACGCATTTGTCTCTACATTTCAATACAGTATATATTTATACATGTACTTTCCAGGGGTTTCAAGTTGAGCTGCAACATAGAAGTATATTTTGGTACGACTTGAAATTAAAGGATTTTATTTCAGTCCTTTTATTTAATTGCTTCTGAATAAGCACAAGTGGCAGTTCAAAGAGTTTCCAAAAGGGGGAGGGGTGGGCACCAAAAAAACAAATGTGGTCCAATCTTCAAATAATCCCCTCCCCAACAAACAAACAAAAAAAAACAAAAACAAAAAAAAATATTTCAGAGGTAAGAGATGGGGCTCTCTGGATCCACAACTGGGTATCAGACCAGTTAACTGTAAAGGTTTTGAAACACCTGACCCAGGCACAACAATGGGTTTTTTAATGTGTGGTTATAATTCTTATATATTGGTATAATTGAGGTATATAGCTACTGTGACTTTGAACTTGAATCTAGATCTTGACTTCAACGCACTGTCAAAAATAAATGCAAAAAAAAAAATTGAAATAATAGTACATGTACCATATGCAAAGATCATGCCTAGAGCCCAAAAAGTACTTTGTCATCAAATTACATGTAATAACACATTTGCGACTAAAAAAAAATGTAATATTACGTAAATTCTAAAAAAAAACTTATTGTGAAAATTTCAACCTTTAGTTGCAGCCTAGAGCCTCACTTTCAATATATATTACAGATAGAAATCCATCACGTAAAGGCATGTGTCTGAATTAATGTAGAGAAATTTGATATCTCTACAATCTGAATTCTTCCATGTAACTTATCTGTAAGTGTAATATGTAGATCAAAGTAACTGGCCCTACAGATGTTTACTTGGTGGGTAAAATAACATTTCATTTTGTTATTGAATAAAATAAGGTTCGATGTACTACCTAGAAACAGTAAAAATAAAATAATAAATTATAGCTTAAAAATTTAACTGATCTTTGAAAATAAAACTATTTATGTTTCTTGAAAT